GATCAATGGGCAGTTGGCTGTCTGTTTTAGTAAACTTCTGGTTTTCGTACAAAACAATATTTCTGTCTAGTGTAAATCAGCCCAGTGGCGAGTAGCTGACCCTGTCGCCTTATATACTTGTAGAACAACAACAAGTTTTGGAATTTCCGGTTACGTCAAAATTAGTCACGTTATACTGTCACGCTATAAATTGGGGGGCAGAGGGATTGGGGGAGGGGTGCGCGAAAACAATGCAAATCGTTTCCTGCTTAAAATTACGGTCATGTTGAAACGCAGACCAAGCAGACTGCAGACTGTGCAGACCGTGCAGACTGTGCAGACTGAATGTTGTTTTTTTTTACTTATACCTTAATTTTCTAGTAAAATTTTTACTATAGTTTCCCCCTTCCTCTTATTATGTGCACTGTGCATCACTATCATATGTGCACCGATGTGTACCTGCAAGGGTAGGGTTATGGCTCAGCTGCGCTGCTAGCCTGAGTATCAGGCGTTTCTGGGGGAAAAGGGGAAGGAGAGAGGCGAAAAGGGAGGGAGCGAAAGGAACTTTTTTTTCCTTTTCCTCCTCCCCCTCCCCCCTCCCCCTTCTCACATCTCTTCTCCTCTCCCCTAGCCCCTTAGGAAGGCCTGATACTCAGGCTACTGCGCTGCTTTTACGCAGGAGCGAGAACGATGGAGGAAGATAAGCTGTTTCTTTATGTAACTGTATTCATTATTGCCACGATTATTTAAATTTTTTTAGTAGAAAAAGCTTTTTCACGTTAACTGACTTAAAATAAAACCCTTTTTGGCTTCCTACAAAGGCTACGATAGAGACATTTCCTCAATTTGCTTGATTGTTGATGATCGTCTTTGGTTTCACTCTGTGATTCAAGCCATTGACTTGCCGTCATGTCTTCAAATCTTACAGATACCGATGTTATCCTTATAAGCTCGGAATATGAAACCGAGACGTTTGAGAGATGGGCCTTGCTTTAAAATGGGTAAATAAATCAACGGTATATCTACCTAAATATTCTGATTTCCATGTGTTTGGCGGTTCCGTAAGCGTCAGAATTAAGAGAAGAAGGGCAGCGACTTGAAACTTCTCACAGATAATATTCAATGAAAATTAAGACAAAATATACCTAAACAGTGCCTAAAATACACGGCGGGGGTCTAGTTCAATGCACATTAAAAACCCCTCCACATCTTCGAGTTGTACAAATAATGCATTTGTTACTAATGAACTATTTAGGTTTGTTGCTGCATAAACAAGAACCATGATACTCGAACAAGATTGTCGGTTTCAAACCACCTCCACTTATTTGCGTGAATGCATGGAGCAAAGTCGATCCCCGAGTGAAAACCCGCCTAGAAGGACAATCTTGGGGATCGAATAAAAAAAATTCATAAACAAGCTAAGCTGAGCTAACAACGAGGACATCGGTATCTGTATTTGAAGAAATGACGGCAAGTCACGGGTTTGAATTACAGAGTGAAACCGAAGACGATCATCAACAATCAAGCAAATGAGGAAATGTCTCTCGTAGCCGTTGTAGGAAGCCGAAAATGGTTTTATTTTAAGTCTACTAAAAAAAATTAAATAAGCGTGGCAATATAATACAGTTACAGAAAGAAACAGCTTGTCTTCCTCCATCGTGCTCGCTCCTGTGGGAAACTATAGTAAAAATTTTACCAGAAAATTAAGGTACAAGTAAAAAAACTACACTCAGTCTGCAGTCTGCACAGTCTGCACGGTCTGCACAGTCTGCAGTCTGCAGTCCGCATGGCCCGCGTTTCAACATGACCGTTAAAATTATGGCTAACTTGTATATTTTTATTCATAATGGTGGAATTTAAAGTTGTTATATAGCCCCCACTTAAAAATGGCACTCATTTTTTTTTGTCACGAAAGTCTTTAAAAGGGTACAATGTTCTGAATGAGTTTATGTTAGAGTCTCACATGAGATTCTGACAAGGTTTTATGGTAGCCTGAGTGTGTATAACCACCCCCTCCCCTCAGAAAAAATAGCCCCTTGGCAGCCCAGTTAAAAATTGCCTTTCGGCGATTCTTGTTTCTAAGATAAAAAATAATTGCTTCTTACTTGTATTACACTTGTCGCCTTTGCAACAATCTACAATCTTTTCACAGGTCGCATCACACTGATCTTTGGTAACACATCCGTAGCGATAAGTCGTTTGTATCTTGCCCTCTCTTGTTGTCGATCGATACTTAACTTTTGCGCAGTAGTGAACAGGTATGGGGCAATCTACGTCGTCTTGGTTTTTTTGGCATTCATGAAGAGATGAACCGTTTTCACATCCATAGCAGGATATTGCTGAAACGGAGAAAAACAACAATTTCGAACAATTAGACCGAGAAATTTGCGCCGAAATCACTAACCCTAGTCACTTTTACTGATAAATATATGCTATTTCCCTTTAAGAAAGGATAACATTCGGGGACTTTTTATTTTCATTTAAACAACTTTTTTATATGTCGCAGATCATTGATAAATATCATGATAAAATAAATAAATACTGATAACTATACAGTGAAAATCAGTGTAATATTTCCCTGGTGGTCAATTCAAAAACTTTCAATCATTTTGGTATCTATTTGTTGATTTTGATTCAATTTAGTCCTGATTTCAAACTTTTCTAAACATGATGAAAGTCATCAAGATGATGACTCGGCCATTAATCAGAGAGATGACGTAACCTATATGTCATATCACCTCATCACGTCTCTAAACTTCTCTAATCCTAGACATTTTTTGTATTTGATATAATTATACACTGCTGATTTGCCAAAAAGAATTTAAAATCTTCTATTACTGTACTTAACAAATAAAGAAGCTTTGATTGTGCTTTGCTCTGTTGTAAAGCACTCAGAAAGCGGAAAGAGCACAAAAGATGTGTAAGGGGAACACGACACGTAAAACAAACTATATTGGCAGGGCGTGACAGCTTTAGCTCCGGGTTTTAGGCTCTCATAAAGGACGCTTTATCGACCAACCAGAGTGCGCTTTGAACTTTATTATGAACATTATTGTTGCTAGTCGGTTCCAGAACAACCGAACGCGAGGTCAAACTGAATAGGGTTTTATGTACTGAGTACTGCATCCAAACTGTAATTAGAGCTTCGATTTTGATCAGCCTTTCCCGCCTCACCTGTATTACACAAATCACCATGGCAACATTCCAAGCCTTTTTGGTTGTCAAGTTGTCTGCATTGTTCAGCTGATATACACCCTTGTTCGGTGAATTGTCCATCTTTCGCGCTCTTATTATTGTACTTAAAACAGAGACTTTTTGGAAATGAGCAATTGACTTCAGTGGGAACAGATGACATTTTCCCCGAGCACTTATTATGGCAAACTTTACCTAAAGGAAAAAGCAACGTTTTTTAATTCTGGGCTAAAGACTTTAACACATTACCAAGGCGTGGGGAGGGGAGGGGAAAGTACGTAAGTAAGAGGGGAAAGTACTCAACAAAATTTTATAAGGGGGAGGCTCCGCCCTGAGGTCCAACTCCTTACCCTTTTACATACCAGTTTTTGACAAAAAAACGGACCCCTTTCGCATACCTTTAAATGACAAAAGGCACCCCTTTTACACACCAATTTAGAAAGCTGCATCTTTTTTAACTGCTGTAAATGTACCGTCTTTAAGCTATGAACAAGTCGCTAAACCAGACAGTTTTCTTATGTTTTTCACAGCCATAGAATGCGCCTGGGACCGCAATGACAGATTTCCCGAACCTTTTATATACTTTATAAGAGTAACCCCTACCGTTTAATATACCTGAAGCCTGAAAAAGGCGCCCCTTTCTGGCGAAGCCTCCCCATATAGGCCATTTTAGCAAGTACCCTTGGATACCACGGTTGCTGATTGTTTGAAAAGGAATTTTTATAATAAGAAACATAGGCAACAGACACGTTTTTTCTTCTTTTGATCCGAGCAGGGTCAGAGATACTTTTTGGTTTTGTGCAGTTTTTGACCGGCGTAAAAAGCCGAGATGAAAGTTTATATAAAAATGATGATAAGAAGACCTTACTTTCCTCATTTGTTTTAAATTAAAGCTACTTCGTAGCCTTCAAATGGAAGTGTGCCACCATAATGAAATCATACCTGGGACGGGCTTTTCACAAAGATAAGCATGCCTTTGGCCACAGTCACGGTCTGTCTTTCTATTATCTGTCCTCGGGATTATGAAGCACGGTTTAGGGTTGGTTCCTTCAGGGTCGATCCAAATGTCCTTTAAAATAAAAAAGCAAAACAGCAACTTACGAATGATATCAGTAATAATGGTGATGATGATGATGATGATGATGATGATGATGACGACGATGATGATCATGATCATGATAATAATGTTCTAACTATAGTTCTTTCCGTTTCTTTCCCCTGAGCCACCGACGTTTCATTGTCCCCTGGCTGGCTCTAATTTATCAAAAGTTGAATAACTATAAGCAAAGCACCTTTTGAATAAATAGGTCCTGATAACAGGGATGAGCAGTCCTAGAACATCATGTGAAGCTTGTCTAGGACCTGTTTCTATCACTGAACAGCGGTTGAGTCCACATTCATGCTAGTTAGTCTGTGATTGATTATAACATGTCATAAGGCGTCCCTCTACCCTCTGCGTGTATAGGCTCTCAGTAGGGCATGCTAACAGGTAAAGATTTAGAGGCATTGAGCACCTCTACAAAATTTTTCGCCGTTTTTGATTGGCTGATCAATTTCCCGTGTATATATATCTTTTATATCCATATTTATTTCATAGCGCTACCTGTTTTTTGGTCACTCTTACTTAATTCAGCTACCTCTTTGAAATTAATAGTGTCCAATAGGCGGGTCAGGAATCCCGTGTCAGTTTTGCTAGTACCATTTATTTTCACCAAATTGCTTCCAGAAGCAGTGCAGTCCTTTTTTGCTTCTTCCCATGTTTTTAAAGTGCTGTGCTTATAGTAGCAAGATAGTCCATTCTGATGTCCATCATCATGATCAGGCGGGCAACTCAGTGGACCTAATGGATAGGACAAATTAAATATAACGGTTTCAAATGAATGTCGTTTAATTTTCAGAGCCGCCTGTGTCCCCTAGTGATTGAAAAATATCATTCTCATGTATTCACCAGGCTTAAAATTCACCGTCACATATCCATCCTTGCGTATAAGCACATACCGAGATTATAGTCCTTGAAGTATGCAGGATGTTTGTCAGGGGCACCCAACGACGGTTGCCTCCTAAATACATTGACAACACTTTTTGGCTATCCAGAGCACTTTTAGACCTTTATAAGTGCATTCTAAGTGGCGCTATACAAATTTTTATCTTTTCGATCATCCCAGGGGAACGTGAATCTTCCAAATACAAGGAGTTCAGTATATTATTTTCCCGAAAATTTTAATAGCGATTCAACGTATAACAAGAGTTATAATTTTTCTGATTACTTCCCCCATCACATTTTGCATCCGAAATTGTAGGGTTTTTTTTCTACGAAAAAATAGCCTAGCCTGGGGAGTGAAATGTGAAAAATTTAACGTAAGAAAATCTTAGGCAATTTATTGGACAAGCTTCGAAAATTGTTCATGAATGGAACGTTCATCTAGGAATTTTTAGCCGTCCCCAAGTAACAGAAAACTTTAGGCAATAATTATTTGCCTCTCTAAAGGAGATATTTTGCAGAAAATATTCGTTGAGTGACCCTGGTTTGTCACATGACCCTAATTTAGTGGCCTTAGCACTCACGAGTATCCTGTAGCTTAGTGGTAGAGCATCTGTACTAGCAACCAGAAGCTCATAGGTTCTACCGCATTTTGAAGTACTCGGATATTTTTTCTTTCGAGCCGCCTTTGTTACGAATGGAAAAACATCTTTCTCATAGATCCTTATCATCCTATTCCTAATAAAATTTGTAACTATGTAGTCGATAACTCAACCAGTCACACTATCCATAGGCAAGTAATCGGCTCCCGCAATCGGATAGAGAATCATCCGTAGGATAGCGTTAGTTAATTTTTGAACAACTGGCGTCAGAGCCTGCATGAATTTTAGACTACTAGCAATCTCTCTTTTTTCTTGGTCCGTCGAGCAAAACGCCCGAGACACGCAATAACACCACGCGCGTGACTGAAGGCGAGAGACGAGAGAGGCACGACTTTTTTCTTTTCGGGATGCCGCCCTCGTTTCCCGCGTCTCTCGCGGCTTCGACGCTCAACGCTCGCACGCGTGCACTCCCCATACTAAATCTGGGCCCAGTTGTTCGAAGGCCGATTAGCGCCTAACCCAGGGTTAAATTTAACCTCGGTTTCTTTTTCTTATGTTCAAAAGCATTTTCTCGGATAATTTTCTCTGTTGTTTTAAATTAGAGCTTCAAATCGTCAGTTTGTAGACAAGAGGAATTAAAACTGAAATACTTTTAAGTGTTCAAATCTGAATTCAAATCTAGCACTAACCCTGGGTTAGCTTAACCCAGCTTTGAACAACTCGGCCCTGAAGAAAAAGAGAGACTCCTCGCAGTCTACATGAATTTGAGCCGTTTTCTCAAGTCTCCCTCATCAGCAGGGCTCTCTCCTCCGCAGAGGCCTCGAAGCTGGGGAGAGACAAAAAGAGAGCGCGCAACCATCCCATCGTCCCCCGCGCACTTTCTATTTTTTGTTTTCGATTATTGCTATTTTTACAGGGATACCCAGCGGGAGCTTCTGCGGAGGACTGAGAGGCAGCAGGGTTCGAGACAGGGAGAAGGATCTCTTTCGATAGTTTGCAACTCGAGAAGAAGGCTGAAATTCAGGCAACCAGAGCAATAGCTCAGGCTCTAAGCGAACATATTGAAACTTTTTTGTCCAGAAGGGTAGAACAGTACTTCGCATTGGCTGAAAATTGGATGAAATATTTGAGCATTGCAAAAGCATATGAACGCGAAATTTGTTTAGTCAAAGAAAACTTTACAAAAGTTGCATTAATACCGATTTTTGCAAGCATCAACGAATTCATTATTGTAAAGGAGCAATTAATTTGGCTTTATAGGCCTGGTTACTTTCTTTACGTATTTAGAAGCAACTCACCATTCAGTTTTTCACAGATGTAGTACTCGGTCTTCTTGCAACATTCAGCAAGGTTCCAACCATTTCTCAATACTTCCACACATTTGGTCTCATTGCCATTAAGCTTACTTGTTGTGTTTCCATACCACTCGACGGATAAAGAATGATTAAAAGAACTTCCATCGC